TGTGCTATTTCCTTTGCTTATCACTAATTCTTGTGAAACACAGTATGTAAGTGTGTATCTTATATAGTATGTCCTTCCTTTCTTGGGTTCTCTATTCTGACATAAATTTTTATTTGTTTGGAGAATTTCCTTAGGTCTTATGCAGGAGAAAGTTTATCCTTAAGGAGAATGGTATATTTTCTGAGTCATCGACTGCTTGAAAATGCCTTTTTTCTCTCTCTCTCTTGTGATAATGTGGCTAGCTGTAGAATTCTAGGGCTACAGTCTTCTTTTCTTAGATCAGGTGGGATCTTGGGCCTGCCTGATTCTATCACTATCGCAGCCATACTTCTTAGTTTTAGTCACAATTTTATATATCTCACTGAGTATGGGAATTAATTTGCCTCTTGCATTAAGTTATTTAATGTTGGTTAACTTCTTTTGGGCTGCTCACTTGGCCCATCACTTTTCTTTGGTTGTCAGTGTATGTGTTCTTCATGGCACATTGCAGTTTAGGGGAACGATGACTATTCATCCGTCCATATGTAGTGTATGGACGCTCAAGCCTTTCATTCATTGGACAATAATGTTTGCCATTCCAAAACAAGTCTTGAGGCTTGCATGGATCCCTTAGGATTGTAGGTATATAGCTGGGATATCTGTTGAGTGTAGGGATGTCATGGTGTCTTGGATCTGGTGTTGAGGGGTCTTGCTACAGTATGTCATGTCCAATGGCTACATCTAATAGCAGGGAGAAGAGAGTTCTGATGGTCAGTCCTAATGGCAGGGTCTTCTACGCCACATCTTCCCTGGAAGAATGTACCCTATGTCAGGTCTGGGTACAGTTTTCATGCACAGTCACCCCCAAGCAGCAGCACCTCCAGGGATCTGATCAGAACTAGGTTGCCATTTGCCTCCTTTCATCCCTGAATCGCCATCTGGTTATTCTCTTGGCTCTTGGTCAAAAGAACTAATTATACTTCCCCATTTTTTAGGAAATTTATCTTTAGAATAATTATTTTTTGATGTTACTATTTTTTTTTAGTTTTTGTTATGAAATATGCCATAAATGCCAAAGAATATATATAGTGAATACATATGGTTCCGGGATCAATCATAAAACAAATGGCCATGTACCTACCACCTAACTTAAGAAATAACTTCTCTTCTAAGCAAAACTATTATGTGACTCTGAGCTGATTCTCCTTCTTCCTTTCCTAAGGTCGTGAGTCTGAAGTGGGTAGTATCTATGGCCACGGTCACTCCACAACAGTTTTCTAACACCTTGTTCTGAAAAAAGAGAAAAAAGTGTACAGAAAAACCCTGAGTTGTTTGCAAAATAGAAGCCCAGATGATTGTGCTTAGTGGTTGGTGTGTCTGTGTAGGTCACCACTGGTTTCTCCTGGAAGGTATTCCCTGGTCCATTGGTAACCCACACGGCACCTTTGTGTGAATAAGAAAAAATCATTTTTCCCATTTGCCAGCAATTCTCTGTAATACCTATATGCACAAACATCTATAATGATTATGAATGTGAGTAGTACCTCCTAGAGTTTGCAAGTCACAACCATAATTCGTGGTAAATGTAGCAGGTGGCTATAGGGCTCCTCAGGTGGGTGTCGTCAGACACTTAATGAATGCCTACTCTGTGCCAGGCATTCTTTTAGTTGTTTGACATTCAAAGCTGAGATAGACAAGATTCTTGCTCTCATGGATCCCCCATGACTGGACTTATGAGCAAGCTATGGTTTTGGGTGCACGAGTTGGGAGTCAGCTAACAAGCTGGGGTCATTCCTGAGTTGGGTCAGGGCCCTGTAGTTACTAGCAAAAGTGGGCCTAGGCTTCAATTTCTTTTACTTAGCATGTTGTCTATGCCACATTAACCCTGAGAGGTTATGTTGTACCAGGGTGATGAGTCCAGAGTGACCATATGCTTTGGTTTACCCTAAGTACTGGGTGAACTCTCTTGTCCCAAGTGATTATTAATATCACCCCTTCTCTCTCTCTTTTTTTAAAAGATTTATTTAGAGAGAGAGTGCATGCATGTGGGGGATGGGCAGAGGAAGAGGGAGAATGAGCCCAATGCAGGACTCGATCCCATGACCCTGAGATCATGACCTAGCCAAAATCAAGAGTCAGATGCTTAACTGACTGAGTCACCCACGTGCCCCCACCTTTCTCTCTCTTAAAGGTGTCCTAGCTTTGGACAATAAATTATATGGTCATGTGTATTAGTCAGCTTTTTTGCCATGGTAACAAACACCTTCAAAATGTTAGTGACTTAGAACATCAACTATTTAGGTTTTGCTCATGGATCTGAGGATGAGCTGCAGCTCTGCCCCAGTCTGGGAGTCAGGTTTAAGTTTGTTCCTCACTCTGGACTTTGGACCTGTGCCACAAGTCTTCCCATTATAGCACCTAAGTTGGAAGACTGAGCTTTATTTAAGATTTCTTCTCATGGCAGAAGGTGGAAGCCAAGAGTGCCCTGGTCAGAGGTGGCATGGGCCATATCTACTCTTATTTTATTGACTAGAGCAAGTCACGTAGACAAAACCAACCATCTAGGGCTTGGGCTTGAATCTCCTTCCTCAGCGTAGGGGGTGCTGTGGTGGGGAAGAGCGAATATATGGTGAATAACGATATAATTAGCACATTGCCCTACTAAACCCTACTGCTTCCCAGCGTGCCCCAGCTCCAGCCTTTGCTGGTGTCTTGTAGCCGTGTCTGTTTTGGGACAGTGCCCAAGTGATTGACAGGACACAGGCGAGGAGTTTTGCCTCCGTTTGAATTACAGAATGATTAAGGGATTTCACTGTGGTGTGGAGCCTGTTTTAGATTTTATTGGACAAGGTGGGAGTTGATGTTTGCTGTGGCAGGTTGATTAACTGGGACAGAGTCTCCTCCTTTCTGCATCCCCAGATCTGCCACCTATCCTAGAAGTTTGTGCTGACAAATTTTCCACTCTCTGTGTGAGCCGTCAGAACCCAGTGGAGCCTGTGGCCAGACCATGCCCTCTTCCTACCTCACGTTGGGGCTCCAAAGAGTTGTGATTTCTGGTGCCCTTTACTTTGCCCCCACTGACTCTCTTTCCTGCCCCCATCCCTACCCTTGCTGCTTTGCACCTGGGAGTTTTAATTTTTATTGTTTCCTTAGTGTCCCTTCATTTGCTTGTGTTCAGTGTTCAGTACTAATTGGCTTTCCTTTAAAACAGTTCCATAAATTCCTCAATGTTACTGGTTCATGGATGGACTGATGGAACCCATCCTTGTTTTCAACTGTTGGATAGTTTGCTGAACCCCTTGCAGCGGGAGCTGAGGAGAGAAAGGTGGCAGATTTGAGCTCACTTGCCCATGTGAAACTCCAGTGTTGTTGAGCAGAGATAGAATACTATTTCACCAAAAGGACAAAGATTGATGGCGAGGCATAGAGGAGATACATTAGATCCATAACCAGTCCTGGCAGCTGGCGTTGTCTCAAGAGCAATTTTTCATGAAGAAACTGATTTATCATTTCATAAGAATGATCAAGTACCTTCAGAGTCATGTTGAAAAGCACACAGATAGTGGGGGGTCAGCTTGGCTCAGCAGGTGAGTGACTCCCAGTAGGGGCTCACATGCATGCCTCAGCAGAAATACCAGTTATCTCATGTCATGGATCGTTGGCATGCTAGGGATAATTGATATTGTGAAAATTAACTTAATCCTAATTATGTCCTTCACAAGAATATGAGTCTATGAAGAAGGTATGGAATGTGTCTGTCATGTCCCCTCCCCTTGTACTATCTCCAAAACCTAGCACAGTGCCTGGCACGTAATGGACATTCAGAAAACTTTGGCTGAAGCAATGCAAATATTGATGATGGACTATAAAGGCAAAACCTGGGAGAATCCTTGGAGCTCCTGAGTGTAATGGGGCATAGTAGGGGCAGGTGGGAGTGTCCTTGAAAGAAAGGGGTTTACAACCACCACAGTGCCAGGAATGGGCTCCAGTTGATGCCTCAGCCTCCCTGGCTCCACTGTAGCATGGGGCAGAAGCGTGGAAGAGGTTGGACTTTGTTCTGGGAGTTAGGGGCATAGCCCCTGCGCTGGCATGGACCCTAGCGGAGGCCACACGGTCCAGGTAGCAGATGCTGTGGTTGCATCACCATATCCACTCACCCTCACCACTTCGGCGCATGCCTGCTGACCTCCACAGGCCAGCTGCTGCATTTATTGGAATGTGGGATTTTTTGGCCCTTGAAGCTTACTTTGCCCCTCGTGCTGCAGGTGGGAAATGCCCCTTGTGTGGGGTGACTGAGGTGTGACGCTTGCCTAGGAGGTGTCCCCTCCATCTGTGGTAACTGGCTTGGTAAAGCCCCCTTTGCTGGCTGCCTTCCCTGGACCACCTCCCTACTCCCCTGCCTGTGCTTTCTTCGCCTTCTAAATAAACCACCTGCTCTTGAATACTTGTCTCAGGGTCTGCTACTGAGGAATCCAAACTGTGATGGTCGGCGCTGGGTCCTGGGCACCTGGCCACTGGCTGGGGGGGTATTCTTGAGGCTTCAGAGGACTTGAACTTCATTTTGCTTAGACCCTTAAAAGTCATATCAGAAAGAGAAAGAAAGCACTCTAGTTTCTCTTGTTTAAGAAAGTTGTGGCTTAAACAGTTCCCAAGTTCTATTATACAGCTCTCTGAAATGACCGAGTAATTTTTAAGGACCGCTGAAACCACCCTGCTCACGAAACCTCAGTGCTTTGTAATTGCCGTGGTGTAGGGTCTCTGTTGACTTGGAGGGCGTTCCTGGTCTCCCTGAATATGCTCTGTCTCTTGCTAGAGCAGACTGTTCATTGTTTTGAAATATTGCCTGCATGTTCCCTTCTCTGTGCTGTGTCTGAGTCTCACTGTCCCCGTGCTGGCATCAGGTGGCCCTGTGGCCAGCTCCTGAGGGATGAAGGGATGAAAGGGTCATTCTGCCCACACTGTGCAATGGATGGGCACAGGAAGAGCCATCACACTGACCTTTGACCTTTGCTTCTTTGCAGATATCTCGGTGAGCCTGCTGACCCTTGTGGTCACTGCCTGCGGCCTCGCGCTCTTTGGGGTGTCTCTCTTCGTGTCTTGGAAACTCTGCTGGGTTCCGTGGCGAGAACGAGGCCTGCTGTCTGGTAGCAAAGACAACAATCGGGAACCTCTTAACTACACGGACACAGAGACCAATGAGCAGGAGAACAGTGAGGGCTTCCTAGACCCTCCCACCCCCTGCCCTGACTCCTCCATGAAGATCAGCCACACCTCCCCTGACATTCCCCTCTCGACCCAGGCCAGGGGCCAGGAGAACTGTGCCCATGGCATCCATGTGCAGCGCCAAGTCACAGCGCCAAGCTCGTCGGCTCGGTCAGTAACGCCCCTTTCCTTTCCGAATGCAAAGGCAGGGACCACCTCACTTCCCTCCCTTGCCAGCAGTAGCACTGATGAGCCCTGGGGCCTGTAACCTTTCACAGGTCCATTCAGTGTCAGAGATGTGAATATGGGAAAACGGGGTGCTTCCTATGCTCCAGTGAGGTTCCTTACCTCTCCTGAGCTCTCTACATAGTCTCCACTTAGTCCATAAAAGAATAGTGACATGTCAAGTTCTAAGACCTTCCTGTGCATTATTTTACTATAGTCCACAACTTTGCGTGAGATGCAAAAGTTATCATTTTCATTTCACACAAGAAGAAGCTTAAGTCAAAGAGTTTAAGTAAAAAAGTCATATGTTGGTGTGCACTCAGGGTTTGAACCCTGGTTCATCTAGTACTGGCGCCTGAGCTCTTAACGGCTCTTCCCGCGGCCTTCCTAGTGCTACCGGACTTAGGTTCCGTGCTTCCGACCTAGCCGAGCTCTCACACACCGGCTGTCTTTGTAGTCCACGAAGTGGCTGGAGGTCTTTGTCCATCTTCAGCCTTTGCAAGGCCTAGAGTACCAGGCCCAGGGTCACTCTTTCAGTGGGCCGGATGCTCTGTGCTTGAAGCAGTAGAGAAATCATATCGTGCAGTGATAAAAAGCAAGGGCTCTGGGGTCAGGTGAACTGGCTTTACTTATATGTGTGACCCTGGATCTATTACTTAGCCTCCATGTCTCCATTTCCTCTTCTGTGAGAGAGGAATAGTGAGAATAGGAACGTATGGGTGGTTTTAAGAATGAAGCAGGAACATGCACTTCATGCGCTTTGCACAGGCTGCACCTGGTAAGCGCTCCAAAGCCCGAGCTGCCGTTTTCATTTCAGTGTTGCTCTTGTCATGATCATTCTCACTGCGACTGGCTTCTCCCAAGATTCAGATGTGTTGCAGATGTGTCTTTGAGGTTAAACAGCCAATTCTGAATCACTGGATATAAAGATCCACTTTTAATAGGAGATTTCAGAAAGAGAGATAAAGGAAGCAGCTTTTTTTAAATGAAAATATTTGCTAGAGCGATAGCCAGAGGAATAACCTGTGCTGCCATTCGGAAAGTTTGGGGGCATTTTTAAAAAATCTTTCTTATTTGTTCTCTAGAAACAGAAATAAGATTTTACCCTTTTTAATGTTAATCGAGTTTATCCTAGAGACTGCACATTCCCATTAAGTGGGATGGAATATGACAGTTTATAATTTAATTTTTCCACAAACCTATTTTAGCATCATTTCCAATTCTGAATCAAAGAGCTAAACCTAAAATATTCCTCTGTGAGGAAATGGATGGTTGTTTGCCATTTGATTTAGAAGAACTCCTCAGATTTTCTCACTAGGATTTCTCTTTAAATATAGACTTAAATATAACTGGAGCTCTGTTTGATGCTGTCATGGCGTTCATGCAGTTGTGCAGACTCAGGATAAAATTCCTTCAGTACTTCAATAACCAGAATCTTTCAGATGGAGGATCCATTAAAATTGTCTCCTATTCGGTTTTACTCTGCACGTTAATTTTTCTGATCCGCGTCCCATCACCACAAGGTGATAGATAGTACTGTGCTTTCTATTAGATTATGGATCTGAGGACTCTGCCATAATTCTAATGACTTGACAGCAGTCATATCACCCTAATTATCACAATATTTATTTTAGAAAAATGTTTAAGTACTCTACACCTCAAGAAATATATTTCATTTAAAAATAAAAGCTGTGGTAAAAAAATAAAAACTGGTATCTTCACCACTGATTTATGGAAATGGGGTAGAAGGAGAAAAAGACAAAAAGGGAAAAGCAAAGGAATTATCCCTATAAAATGAACTTTACATTTAGATTTATTTTGGTTTTGGAGTCATGTAATTATCTTCTCTTATGGCCAAATCAAGTTTAGTGATATCTGACCATAAGAAAACTAAACTCTTTCCAGCTGCATTTGACCTAATACTGATAGTTTGCATCATTATGCACTTAAAACATTCTTATCTAAATTACTACTGACCTAGTGTTATGGGTTATGTCTGAAAATACATACCTATGATTCATGGTCTCACCCTAATGAGTCGTGTATGGTCTTTTAATTCTTGAGGGATTATGTTATGTTATAAACAAACACAAACCCTTTTTTACTGACAAAATGGGAGAAATGAATGAAATTTCCTTCATGTTCCAAAACATTTTTAACATTATTTTTTAAGTAACATCTGTGATACTGAATTTGGGGAGCGCGGGTACTCTGTGCTGAGACGGCTCTCAACAGTCTGCTCTGCTAGTTCTTATTTCTTCCTTTTTTTTCTCATGATTTTCCTTACTTCCTCACTGCTGTCTCTTTCTTTCTTACTGCTTCCCTCCTGCAGCTGTTGTGACTTGTCCCGAGGGTCCCAGGACACCTTCTTGACCCACAGAACATAAGGCTTAGACTCCCTGTTAAGGGCATCCCTGCTGTCCCTGTGACTCATCGGCATAGCTTCTGTCACAGCACTGATATTGGGAAGCTCACCTTCTCCTGGCCTCTTGAGCTGGAATATGTGCGCCTCCTACCAGTGTCTATGGAAGGCCCTAAAGATGGCGTTGTTTTATCTCCTCGGAGGGTTTCTGGTCAGGATGACTTTCTGTTGTTTTCCCGAGATCAAGCATGTTAACATTCTGTTTCTAGTTGGCTCAGTTACTATTAGAACCCTCCAAAGTTCCTGTTCATTCTTTTCAATTTAGATGAAATCCCTTTTGTGTAATATTCTGGGAATATGGATTTTTTTTTTTCAGAATGCTTCAATACCAGAACATTTTAGAGATCTCTATTCCAAATTTTAAAAAATCCCTGGATCCTCAAAATAGAAGGAACCTTGACAGGCCACCTAATGCATTTCCTGATTCACATCTCAAGATGGGACCTAGGTAACACTTTAGTTTTATAAAAATTTCAATTGCCACACTACCATCTTTTTATTAGGTCTGTTAGGGCCTACATGTTATTGCCACAGTCTCCTTCCGTCAGCTCTCTGCCTCAACTCCAAGCAGCACTACCCCGGAGGACATGAACTCAATAGGAAGCTTTTCCTGGGAAAGCTTGTCATGTTCCAGCTACGCTAGCCTCTCTCTCAGTGCCTTCGGTACCCCTGCCTTTTCCTGCCTGGAGGCCTCCACACGTGCAGTTCCCTCTGCCTGGAATGCTTTTCCTTTTCCTCTCCAGCTCCTTTGCAGCTTTAATGTCCCACCTAGAGCACCACCTCCTCAGAAAGACCTCCCCGACCACCCTGTCTGAAGTATGTGCCCTTCCCTCGACCCCTTCCCACTCTTCATTCTCTCACATGCTGCCTTGCTTGCATTTCTTCACAGGATTGAACTCTAACCAATGATTATTTGTTTGCTTATCACCTGTACCCCCTCTCTAACCTACGAGTTCTCCGAGCTCGGAGACCACGTCTGCTTTGTTTTCTCCCTATGTATCTAACACCTAGTGCAGCCCCTGGCGTAGAGCAGACTTTTTGCCTGAATGATTGACAGAATACCTTGATCAGTATCCAGCCACTTGTGCTCTGCTGATGAGAATGGCAAAAGGCCAGAAGTGTAAACTGAGGAAGGGCCTATATGGGATGAAACCGGTGGAAGGCCTTTTGTCCAAGGACTTACCTTCATTCAGAGCCTTATACGTAGACTTTTGGCCTTACATCTGAACTAAGCAATCCCTAGAGTCACAGAAATATTCTGACAGAGTTGAAAGAAGATGACAATCATTGCATTTTTAGATTCTGGTCCCATTGCTGGCCACAACTTTAGTAAGTGGTATGCTGGTGTTAAATATTGTAATTACTCTAAGAGTAGCATGATTCTATTAAGGTGTGTGTGTGTGTGTGTGTGTGTGTGTGTGTGTGTGTGTGTGTGTGTTGAAAACATTGGTTAGATGTAAACATTTAAACACAACAGTTTTTTTAATTACTCTTAGATATCTCTTCAGGTTTTAATAAACTGATGGCTTCAAAAATGGAAGCTGCTTAGACCTCTCTCAATTCCTGTGAGATTCTGACACTAGATGTAAATGTGCATTTTCTCTACTGGGATTTAATTATTGGAAACTGTTATGTCCTTTGCATTTATATATTTACTCTAGACAGTTGTATTAAACATCTGCTATGTGCAAAGTTCTATATCATGTGCTGGTAATAAAGAGATAAAAAAAAAAATACAGCCCTAACCTCAAAAGGTCCACAGCCTAGTTGGGGAAATAGACGAGAAGAGCACCAGTTACACACATTGAAGTGCTCAAATTGCTCTCTAGATGAATCTGGCAGGAATGTCTAAGATGCTTGGGACAGTGTGAAGGCTGGCTATAGGGGCTGATTCAGGCCTGTGATGATAGACCTGAACTCAGTTGGAAGCAATGGAAGTGGAAAGAGGCATGAGTTGTGAGCTACTTTTGAGAAGGTGTTGGTGGACATAAGCTCATCTTAGAAATAGGGAATAAAATATTGGAAGTGACACCAAGATTTCAAACTTGTTTAACTTGGGTGGAAGGTGTGGGAAGAAGCAGGTCATGCATCAGAGTTTCCGACTCCACTTGACCACACACCTCCACTGGCAAAGGTGTGATGCTTACATCTTTCTTATATCATTCATTCTGGAAGCCTCTGAATCCTGTGCTAAGAAAGATCCCCATTTCCTTCTGCCCTGTAGTCAGTTCACTGCATCTGCCCCTGTCTGAGACTTTCCTCTTCTGTGTCTGTCTGTGGCTCAGGACAACCCAACTCTCTCCTCTCTATCCCCCAGAGAGTTTCCAAGAAGGGAAACAATCCTATCCCCATTGTTTCCAAACTTCCTTGTCTTGACTTGAACCTCGTAAAGAAACCCGTGTGGTTCTGAAATCACAGTTTGCTTCTCTCTTTCCTCTCCTTGAACCCCGAAGCTCTGTCGACACCGGTGCCCCAGAACCAGGGAAAGGATAGGCCAAGTGTCACCTCTGAGATGGGGTCACTGAAGTGATGGCGGGTTGCCTGGAATTGCATGGGAGACCCAGAGGTGGAAGGGATGGTGGCAATGATGGGCGTTGGCTCTCCCACAGAACCTGGATGGAAGATGTAGGCGCATGTGAGGAGAAGGCTGTGGAGGCAGAAAAGCTGAAGATCCTATCCTGCTGGAGGGCTGGGAGCCAAGATGGAAACTTCCGTAATTTCCCTATTGAGGTCTATAGCATCAATTTGGAGGCTGATAATATGAGGCCAAGTTAAGGAGCCAGGCTTGGGGAGACTACCGTTTCCTCCATGACCATTCCCCAAGCCGGCGGCCTCTGTCTCTGCCTGTGTGGCTCCTTAACGTCTGGTCAGTTCTTCTCCTCTTCTGACCTGCTGTGTAGTTAGCATTTGACTTATTTTATCACCGCCCTGGCCAGCCAACTCCTTGCAGGCAGTGACTAGGCTTTGCCTCTTTGTGCCTTCCACCCTACCTGACCCCTTGCTTTGCACATTTGTATTTGGTGAATTGTGGTATTGTCCTCTTTCTTAAAATCCAGTGGAAGTAGTTGGCTTTTTGGGTCATGGTTCAGGGACCAAGACTTTGGGGACTCGAAGTGGGATCCTGGAACTGGTTAATTCAAATTTGAGGAAAGGAGAGGAGGAAAAGCTTTTTGCACCTGGGCTCCTGCCTCTGCTGACCTGAGGCTGCGACTCGGCAAGGCTCAGATTCCTTTCAGGCATTAAAGTGTTTTTTAATTTGTTGTGGGAAATCTGCTTTACAGATTTTTGTTAATCATCTTTGAAATTAGGCAGCCACCAATCTTCCAACTCAGATCTGGGCCAGCCACATCCAGTCTTTCAGCTCTGCTCCACAAGAGGAAAATGTCCTCCGCCTGCACTAAGGGAGGATGGGAGGTGGGTAAAGCTGAGGATCTCAACCCCAGTGTCTGGCTTCTCTAAGACAGCGTCAGAGGACCCCATCTCTCGGCTTTCCTTTCCGCCCCCAGTCTTCGGAAACTATTCCTTCTCCTTCCTTTCATTGCCCACATTAAGTCCCGAGAACACCAAATTCAGGACTCCCCAGACCTGCTCAGAGGACTGCCTGCTTCAGACACAGATCCCTCCTTGTCACGCTCACTCTGTGACCTTAAAATTCCAGACCTTTGCCCTGGGGGCCTCTAGTTTACTGGAGTCAAGGGCCACCTCCATGGACCATTTTAGAACTATCTCGCCTGGGCTGGCAGGAGCCAGATCAAAACATTCTGTTCCATATCTATCTTCTCTCTTGCTTCGGACTTGCTTTTCCTTCCCACTTCCATGTGAGCAGCCTATGAGAGCGATGGGGTATTGATTTTCCATTTCCTCTCCTTTGTCTTCTTCTCAGCCTGGGGGCAGCCCTTCTTGCTCATGTCTCAGCCCGGAGAGCTGCAGAGGTTAGGTAGGGAGGTCGCGAATTACCTTGGCTCCCTGACTGCTCTGAGCTTCTCTAGTCTGCTCACCCACCCCCCCCAACTCCAGTAATCCATGATTTGCTCCTGAAAGGAAATTGAAAGTGATTGAAAGAGACCCCAGGGAGCGAGAACTGTTAGGGCCTGTTACAGTCGGCTGTCTGCTTTAAGCCACCCCCTTAGAGTGGGATTCAACTTTTTTCCAAATAGTAAGTGGGATTCTGAATGGAGGCAGAAGTGTTGGGAAGGAAACTAGTGATGGAAAACATTTCGGTGGATAATAGTGTTTCTATCCGTGCTTGATTTTTAAAAAGAATCTTCAGCTCTACTGGAATTTTGAATGGAGGCCTCCTGTGCAGTTAGGGTCTTGTTTTGGTCTTTGAAGTAAGATCTCTTCGTGATGCCCTGCCCAGTCCGCTCCCTTGGTCCCCTGGCAAGCCATTGTGGTTAGGAGGAGCAGAATACATGGGACTTATTTCTGTTCAGATTTCCTCTCTAAGAAGATGTACAAGTGAAATGGAATATGTTCCATTGCAAGCAGGCAGATTCATGTGTTTTAAATTTAAATTTAAATTTACATGGCAGGCCTAGTCCTACAGATAGGGTTAAGACAAAATATTGCTGTGAGGAGTCTAAAGCCAGTACTCAGAAAACCCAAAGGTAAGTTGTTACACACAGAGTCCACTCGGCAACCACCTTGGGAGAGAAGTGGTAGCCGAGCGGCAGGCTCTGGGTCTAGTGCAGACATAGGACAGGTGTTCCATCAGACATTGGTCCAAAGAAAGTGCGTCTTGTGGCCTTGAGGAAGCACTTTTACTATTTAAACAGCATCACTAAACAGTTCCGGAATGGCCTATTGTAGGCAGGAATTGACACTAGACCCAGGCATGGCCCTTGTTTGAATCTAGCCTGGAGGGAAAAATCAATAGCAGAGGCCAGAACAGATCGCAGCCCCTTATGGCCTCTGCATAGGCCTGGATGCTGGCTGCTCCCTGCCAATCCCTTCTGCCCAGGGACCCCAGGAGAGTGAGACTGGAGCTCTGTTCCAGCACGGCAAAGGGTCAGTGTCTGGACAAGCGAATGGCAGAGCTGTACTAACACAGGGAGTGGGTTTGAGGTGTTTAACAGCATCCCCTGCTCTCTCCGCCCCTTCCCGAAAAGTCATAAAATGCAGAGACGACTTAACGATGGGGTGGATTTCTTTGTAAGAAATTAAAATCTGACAACAGAGACTTTGAGACTGCACGGTTTTTGCACATATGGGAATGCGTGTGCCCTGGGTGTATCCGCTTGCGGTGGGCTGTGTTGGCTGTGACAGGTGCACCTGACAGCTCTGTGGTGGTGTTCCTGTTGTACCGGGTGGGTGATGAGTGGCCAGGAACGTATTTGAGGATGAAGAGGATTGTTCAGTATCACAGCATCTATATCACAAGGGAGAATAATTGCAGACATGTTTGGGGGGGTCTGTTAATCCTATTTGACACCTTTGTTTCATAAAGTAGTCTCAAGAAAGGAAAAGAAGACAAACTCAAATGTTTACTCTGCCTCTCCAGCTATTTATCAACCCCCTCAGAGACAGCCTGGTTGTTCCCTTTCACCTACTGGTGGAGAGCAGCTACTTTAATTAGGGTTCTTGAGAGATAACAGAAAATACAATACAATGACTCTGAACTCTCGGCTGAAAACAAACACAAATAACATTAAAAACAACCTTGCATGTAATGACCACTTCTCTCAGTTCATGAGGACTCACACAGATAAGGCAGGTTTCAAAGAGAATTCCAGGGAAACCACTAACCCAAACCAATAAGCTTATAGGGTGAAGAGTAGATTCTGCCAGCAAATATTTAATTTGCAAATATCAGTATTCAACCTTCTCTGAATCCCTATACACATTTATAGCAGCTTACCTTTAATTTTTATACTCTTAGTGTTTATCACAGAAATAAAGCCCTTCCCCCTGATCACATGGTATGACGGAAACACTGTCATGGAGCCGCCATTTGCACGTCAGAGCCAGCAGTCCACTGGAAGCAGACGCATCCTGTCACACACATTCTCATGAGAGCAAAAGCTGTGTTCTTATGATGAAATGCTTTGATTTGAACCAGCAAGTTCTTACTTACTAATAAAGTTATAAGCCAGTGACAGGAAATTCTATGTGATTTAGAGACAGATGCATTCTCCCTAAGACAACACGTAGCTAACTGTTTCAATTTCAGGATGACATTATATGTAAAGGTGAACAATTTTATTTTTAAAGCAGTTTGTACAAACCTTTACCTTCTGCCAGCTGAAAAAGCTTCTTTAATGGCGTATTAGTTTCAAAAGTGCATTAAACCTTTAAAGCTCCAAGGTCACGTGTTGTAGGTTCATTTCCTGATGGTCTCAGTTTTGAGCTTCAAGCCTTGGAGAGCAGCTTACTCACATTGATGAGCATTTTGAATTTAGGCCAAAAAAAAAAAAATAGCCCACAAATCTAAGCTTTTAACAGTACCTACATCCTGGGCACAAGTTTCTGAAAGACCCGTGGCCAATGAGGTTGTAACTTTGTTCTCTCTTGCTCTTCACTCAAGGCATAATTCAATCCGAAGACAACTCAACCTGTCAAACCCGGACTTCAATATCCAGCAGCTTCAAAAACAGGAACAGTTGACTGGAATTGGTCGAATTAAACCAGAGTTATATAAGCAGCGGTCACTGGATACTGATGATGGGACAAGGGGTAATAGCAAAGCCTGTGGGAAACTGAATTTCATTTTAAAATATGACTGTGACTTAGAGCAGCTCATAGTGAAGATTCACAAAGCTGTCAATTTGCCTGCCAAGGACTTTTCTGGGACTTCAGATCCTTATGTCAAGATCTATTTGCTTCCTGATCGGAAAACCAAACACCAGACTAAAGTTCACAGAAAGACCCTGAACCCTGTGTTTGATGAAGTGTTTTTGTTTCCAGTACCCTACAATGACCTTGCGGCCCGGAAGCTTCACTTCTCTGTGTATGACTTTGACAGGTTCTCTCGCCATGACCTAATTGGCCAAGTGGTGGTGGATCACTTCTTAGACTTGGCTGATTTCCCCAGGGAGTGCATCCTTTGGAAGGATATCGAGTATGTCACCAACGTAAGTCCAGCATTTCTCCATTCTGGGGGCGGCTTCTCAGTCCACATGTAAACAGATTACTTACACCTTATTTTATTGCAGGGACGAAGTATAAAATTCACATCAGTGTCCGGATAGCTTTTGTTTCAGAACCTTCTTGTATCTTCCCAGAAACAGGTCTTTAACAATATTCACTTTAAAAGTTCCCAGAATTATTTATGAAAACAATATGAAAGCATAACATTCTCTCTTTTCTGCTTTCTAATTCTTAGCTCTTCCCTAATTGGCAGGAGATATTATCTGCCCTCCTTACCACATTTTCTGTAGAGCTTTCTTAGGTTATTTGTGCTAAATGGATCCTGGCATCCTATTAACTGTAATCTGCAGCTACGAGACCATTGCCAGACTCTCTGAGAGCATTAAGTCCTTGACCATGTCCCCAGGTCAGCTCAGCTGCATTTCCCATGATCAGCTCTTCCTCTTTAATCCCAGAAGTGAGAATGGTTGCGAAGAGTTGGCACCACATTTTTAAGCAAAGAATCAAAGTGACAAGGAGTCCAGTTTGAAAAGATCTGCAGATATTGGCAGCGCTAATCTATGGAAGGTCACATCCAATTTAGAGCTCAGGAGAGAGGGCGGAAGTGCTATGTAGTGACACCAGTGCACATGTTTACATTTTAAATGAGATTGCAGTGGTGATATTATTTCTCCATTTCCGTCCTTTGCCCCGTCCTGCAGATGTGTACTGGTACTCCTGAAAGAGAAGGAAAATGGACTCTCTTAGGTAACGCTGATACTTTAAAGCCACTTGTTTCTTTCCTCCGTCCAGATTCCTGCAGGCAGCTCTGCTCACACGTCTCCTAGAATACAAGCCCTTCTGAGGCCAGCATAATTTTCATTCTCTGCCTTGGCATCCAAAGGCACCAAGCACCATAATCCTTCCTCAGCTCAAATGATGACCCAGCTTGAGTTTGGAGTCCAGCAAGGGAAAGGCTCTCATTCTGTTCAGGAAGAGAACACACAAAATCTCTGCCCCATGACCAAATCCCCACACTAGTACTTTCTCACTCTTGGCCGCCTTTGTGAACTGGGGACTCACCAGCACTTTGGCTGTTCCAAGAGGCACCTTCTCTTCATGTGCCACGAGATACCGGTGCCAGGTGTGTCCTGCTACTCCCATAAGCAAAGTGTAGCGTGGAGTTTGGCTGGCCTGTATCATAACGATGAGGAAAGGAAAGAAAGAACTGGAGAAGGTGCGGGAACAGCAGTTGATGAAACTAAGCTGATTTGGGAGATTGGAGAAGGAACAGATCTCTTCAATCTTGAAAAGGTTGATATCTGTAAATCCAAAAATGGATGCTGGGGGAAGTAAAGACTATATCCCAAATCCCAATTGCCAAAATCAGGAGGTAGCAAAATGGACAGGCTGCTTACACTAAGATACGAAGGGGTCAAGAAGGAACTCTTTTATTGGAGCATTTACCGAGTCCCCCGGGGAGTGAGTGGAGATACTGCTGGCCCACAGGGATGCTCCTTGGCAGGAGTTGGTCACACAATCTGGGGTGATACCCATTTATATTTTTTAACAAACGGATTCCACAGAGTAGCTGGAATGATTATCAGAAAGCTCCACAGAGATCCTGCTGTGAGTGGACTTCTAGAGACTTCATGGGCAGAGCAACACTGAGTACCCAGGAGCTGATAAAAATCTGGATAAGGCTGGTCCCTGGTGGAAACATCTAGAACAGTTTCTCATGGGATGAGAGTATAGAATGGCAGCCTGCAGAGACCTCCTGGCCCTGAGATCACTGCCATTTTAGCACTCCCCAGGGAGTAAGAGTGCCTGTGTCTATTGTTGGAGAATCCTGGATTTCCACCGAGTTGAGGAGACTGTAAAATTGTTTATGAAGGAGGAAAACTGATATGGCTAGAGGCTTCAAAACTCTCAGCTCTTTCCTCAGGCCAATAACAAATATCCCGAGCATTGATCTAGGCCTTTGGATGACCAGCAGGAGAGGTTTTGAGAATGGAATTACAGATTATTTCATAATCTGCCATATAGTTGTTTTTTATTAAAGTATAGTTGACATACAGTATTACATTAGTTTCAGGTGTACTGCCATGTAGTTTTTAAAATTCCATTTTCAAAATTATTATTTGAGGCTGTTTTGATTGTGACTTTGTGTAGAGACTGAGCATGAAGGTCTGAGGCTTGCCAAGTTTCTGGTTTTGTAATATAGCATGTATGGGGCTCCTGGGTAGCATAGTGCGTTAAGCGTCTGACTCTTGGTTTCAGCTCAGGTCGTGGTCTCAGGAATGTGAGATTGAGTCCTGCTTCAGGCTTCGTGCTCAATGCAGAGTCTGCTTTGGATTCTCTCGCCCTTTCTCTTTGCCCCTCTCACTCATACTCTCTCTCTCTCTAAAGTAAATAAATAAATCTTTATAATATAGTGTGTATATAGAGTACACATATAGATTAATGAGGGAATAATTAAATGAACAGGCATGAACCCACTGTTCATCTGAAGAATAGAACAGAACCAGTACTTTTGCTGACGCTTGGGTTGTCTTCCCTCCTCCCATTCCCTCTCAGTCCCTTCCTGCCAAGTGGAAAAACACTATCCTGAATTTTATTTATACTGTGACATATTTGTAAGACAATATATTGTTTGGTTTTGTCTGCTTCTGCTTTTCACAGCTCTTCTTTGACTTCTTTTTTTCAGCCCACTTTGATTATAACATTGAACAAAAGAAATCAATGGATCTCTTCATCTATTTTCATTGCTGTATAATATTCTGTTGCGTTATAGATGATGAATTACCTTTCTTATATTGATGATATTTAGGTGGTTATTTGTTTTTAACAATTCTGAGTAATACTCTAGAGAACATGTTTGTGCACATCTCCTAGTTCAATCTGCAGTAATTCCTCTAGGGTATATCCCTGATATGGGTACGATGCACACGTGTTCAACTTTTCTAGGCCTCACAGACTTCCTTTCCACAGTGATTGTCTAGATTGATCCTCCCGCTGGTGAGCTAGGACAGTTCCTCATGCCCCACATTCTCACCAACTCTTAAAATTGCCACACTGTTTAATATGTGTGCATGTACATGCCTGTGACGTGGTAAGTAATTTGTATTTCCTTGGTTGTGAAGGTTGACCATCTTCGGGTATGCTTATTGGTCATCCATATTTCCTTACTTGCACAATGCTTGTTCAGCACTTTTTCCTCTTGTTTTCTATTCCTTATTGATTCACATATGTTCTTTGTATAGGCTGGATGCAAATCCTTTGTTGGCGATGTGCATTAACAAACATCATCTCTCAATTTATGACTGTCTTTGTCCTCACTTGATGATACATTTTTGATTAATAGAGGTTCTTGTGTTTAATGTAGTGAAACATAACAGTGTTTTACTTCACAACTTAGCGCTTTTGTGTCTTTAAAAAATCCTTCCTTACCCTATGTCATAAAGATATTTCTCCTATATTTTCCTTTAGAAGTTTTAAAGTTTTGACTTTCCTTTTTTTTCTCATCTTTGCACATTTTTATTTTGAGTTTTTGACTTACTCTTTTTTTTATGTTATGATAATCACCATACATGACATCATTAGTTTTTGATGTAGTGTTCCATGATTGATTGTTTGCATGTAACACCCAGTGCTCCCTGCAGCATGTGCCCTCTTTAATACCCATCACCAGGCTAACCCATCCC